CCGCCTCGTCCGTCTCCGTCTGTGCTTCCGTCTCCTCCTGAGTCGGCCCTCACTGCTTCGCTTTCTACTCCTGTCACTGACTACTACCGCACGTACCGTCCTGTTCTCTCTCGTGTTCTCGCCTCTCTTGTTACCCACCCTCGTGCCTCTGTGTCCTCTGTCTCCGCTCTTACTGCCGCAGTCACTGAGTTTGCCTCTACTCGCCGCCTTGACTTCGCCACCTGTCTTATGGCTGCTCCTCCTTCCAGTCCTCTAGCCGTCGGGGGTGTGTTTGCCCTTGGCTGTGACGCCCTAGAGGACAGGCAGTTTGAGCTAGAGTTCCTGGCAGCCGCTTCCCCTCATCTCTGTGCCATGCTGCTCGCCCCTGAGGGAGACCCCGACGCCCTTGACATACCGACTCCTCGCACTTACGCTGAGGCAGTGTTAGGGCCTTGGGCCTCTCAGTGGAGAGCTGCCATGGACGCAGAGATGGCCTCCTATAGATCCACAGGCACCTACGTCGACGAGGTTCCCCCCCCTGGGGCGAACGTAGTCGATGGCATGTGGATCTACAGAGTGAAGCGGCCACCGGGATCTCCTCCGATCTTGAAGACGCGCTACGTGGCTAGAGGTTTCAGTCAGCGCGAGGGAGTTGACTTCTTTCAGACCTTCGCGCCCACCCCGAAGATGACCACTCTTCGGGTGTTACTGCACGTAGCGGCACAGAGAGACTACGAGTTACACTCTCTCGACTTCTCCACTGCGTTTCTTCAGGGTAGCCTACACGAGGAGGTCTGGCTGCGTCGTCCCTCTGCCTTCACTGGCACTTTCCCTCCTGGGACCCAGTGGAGGCTGAGACGACCGGTCTACGGTCTCCGTCAGGCTCCTCGTGAGTGGCACGACACCCTTCGTTCTACTCTCGCTGACCTTGGTTTTCAGCCGTCGTCTGCCGACCCGTCGCTGTTCGTTCGTCGTGGCTCTACACCGTTCTTTGTTCTAGTCTACGTCGACGACCTGGTTTTCGCCACTGCTGACAGGGTTGCCTTGGCAGACGTGAAGTCCGAACTGCAGAAGAGACACACGTGCACTGACCTTGGTGAGCTGCGTCACTACCTTGGCCTGCAGATCACCAGGGACAGAGCTGCTCGCACCATTACACTCTCACAGTCGCACATGGTGCAGCAGGTCCTTCAGCGGTTCGAGCTTCAGCACTCCACAGTACAGCGCACACCACTTGCTGTTGACCACAGACTCACTGGACCCTTTCCTGACGAGCCGTTTGAGTCCAGTGGTCCCTACGCAGAGCTAGTGGGCTGCCTCATGTACCTGATGACTTGTACTCGCCCGGACCTCGCCTTCCCTCTCAGCGTCCTTGCTTGCTTTGTTGCGCCAGGGAGGCACCGTCCTGTTCACTGGACGGCAGCTGTGAGGGTGGCGAAGTACCTAGCGACGACATCAGGCGTGGGGCTAGTTCTTGGAGGGCAGCAGCCTGTCGTACTTACCGGTCACTGTGACTCTTCTTACGCTGACGACGCTGAGACTCACAGGTCTACTCAGGGGTACTGTTTCAGCTTGGGTTCTGGAGCTGTTTCCTGGCGGTCCACGCGCTCCTCTTCGGTTTCGACCTCTACAGCTGAGGCTGAGATCAACGCTGGTGCCATGGCGGCACAGGAGCTGCGTTGGTTGACGTTTTTGCTTGCTGACCTTGGTGAGCGGCCGAGCTCTGCACCGACCTTGTTCACTGACAACAAGGCGTTGATTCTCCTCTGTCGTGAGCCGCGACTGGAGAGCAGAGTGAAGCACATTCACGTCAGGTACTTCCTTCTGCGAGAGTTGCAGAGACGTGGACAGGCTCGCTTCGAGTTTGTGGAGTCCGAGGCCAACACTGCAGACATCTTCACCAAGGCGCTTCCGCCTTGTGACCACCAGAGGTGTTGTGTGCAGTTAGGCCTTGTTGACACAGGTTCTAGTCGTGTATAGGCTTGAGTTTACTGTTTGCTTTGCTTGTACTCTTGCTATACACACTTGTGAACTCTTGGACTGGCCTTGTGGCCACTGTTGCTTGTGCTCAGAGTGTGTGGTGACGTTGTGATCCACCCTGAGCTTTGTATCTTTGTGACTGGTCTTGTGACCGTACACTTTTGGTTTTGCGAGACACCCCTCACTTAGGCTATGGGGGTGTGTCAAATGTTGTAGCCTATAGTGAGGTTTGTCTTAGGGGGTACAGAGGTTAGGGTTTGTCATATGTACCCCAACTCACATCAATGACACGATCACTTCCTTTCTTGACAAAAACACACGGTTAAGTCACAGAGGTTTTGACCGTTGTGTGAAAGAGGATGTGGGGCACGTGATGCTGAGTGGCTGGCAGCATCACTTGCAGTGCAATGACAGACAAGCATGTGCAAGCTGCAAAGGGGCTTGTGTGTGATGCCCCATGTAATGGTGGGTGGGGGCAGTGTGGGATGGAGAGCATGTCAAGGGAACAAGTGACACACTGCTGCGATAAGAAAAAGTGATAGGAGAAAACCGGCAATGGAAAGTTGAGAATGCGAAAAACTCTTAGGATATAGTGACATTGGAAGGCTAAAAAAAAAAGGCGACAGTAGAAAGTGGAAAGACAGCAACGGAAAGATGGGTGAGGTTTAGAGGAGTGAGAATGGACGGACTGATGACCATGGGAAGATGGGTGCGGGGAGATCGCAAAGGGAGCATGGCAATGGGATGAGGATCGTGAAGTGGTGCTGCTGGAATCATGACAACGGGACGATGTGAATCTGACAATGACATTAAGAACATGGCAATGAAAAGATGATAATGGGTTGACATTGGGAAGATGATAATGGGGTGATGTCAATCTGATAGTGACATTAAGAACATGATAACGGGAAGATGATAGAACGATGTCAGTCTAGTAAAGACATTAACAACGGTGATCATGGTATGGGTGGGGAACGGTGATCATGGTATGGGTGGGGAACGGTGATCATGGTATGGGTGGGGCATGCGGAAGGGATGGGGAGGTGGGTGGAAGGGCCGGGATGGGCGATGGCAGGCAGCATGGTGCGAGGGTGTGGGCCTGACCCCCATGGTGCCACGTGTGCATGGCAGGCAGGCATGGCAGGCATGCATGGTAGACATGCAAAGGAAAGCTGGGGGAGGAGGGAAATGACAAATGGCAATGGGGAAGGTAGAAGAATGGCAATGAATGAGAAATAGAATTGGAAAGAATGGAAAGTTGATTGGCAAAATTGAACGAGGAAGCGAATGTGACAGTGGCAGTTGGACCTTGGCAAGACAAGGGACAATGAGAGAGTAAATTTGGCGGGACAAATGAAAAGCCTCAGCGGACAACAAGAGAAGATGAGCGAAGAATGCAAATTGAAAGTTCAATGTGAGACTGTGAAAAAGAAAGGAGGCATTGGAAGTTGAATGAAATCGGCTATCGCACTCTGGCAGGGTAGAAGTGGACAGAAAAAATGGAGATATGTAGTAGTTGACTGGTAGAGATTGCAAGAACATGAGAAGAATTGACTTAACAGGAAAATGATACGCTACAACCATTGTAGTGATAAGTTGATTGGAAACATGAAAATGTGTTGAACAGAATGGGATCATGAGGATAGGACAATGAATGAGAATGCTATCAGGAGAACGAGAGGTGGGAATGAAAGTGAGATGACTGTGGAAAAATGGCTATGGTGTATGGAAAATGAAATGGGAGGCACGACATGCACACTTGAGCAAGAAGGCATGTGTAAGCAACTAGCAGACATGTCAGAATGAATGGCAGAAGAAACGATTGCAATGGGGGAATTGATGAGGGAGTAAGGGAGGGGAGAGGCATGGCTTTTCCTTGAGATATCTCACATGCAAGGGGAAGACGGGTGGATCAGAATGAATGGTTGGGGGGAAGGACAGTAGGGAATCTAGCAGTGGGGAATCTGGCAGTGGGGAATCTGGCAGTGGGGAATCTGGCAGTGGGGAGAGATTGGCAATGAGAGAAATGAAGTGACATCAGAATTTTGACGAAAATCAAAAGAAAGGAAAACGACGCTGGCAAAATCAACAGAGAGCAGTTAACCGAGGGGTTAATTTTGATTTTCGTAAGACAGCTCATATGAGATTGATTAATTAAGACTCAAAATCCGCTTCATCACACTGGGTGTGAAAGTGAGATGTTAATAAACGGCAGTCGGAACAGGGAAATGGAGGATGGACAGTGTGGTGTGGAGATTACCTGTGGGGGGAACATGACAGAGGGAGATTGAGAGTGCGGAGATGACAGCGGGACAATGGCGGTTGTAAGGTAACATGGGGGAGTATGAGTAGTGGAAAATGACGATACCATGAAATCAGCATGACAGTTGCATGCCGAAATGGGAGTGGAAGCACGACAATGGGAAAGATGGCAAAGAGGGAGGTGGCTGTGGAAACAGGGCAATGGGAAAATGACAGTGGGGAGGCAATAGGAAACCGACTGGGGGGATGGTGCACGAAAGGCATTGGGCAGAAATGGAACAGAATAGGGGGCGGGGAGAATGGCAAAAGCGAGATACCAAACAACAACGGCCCAACTTCAAACCACTCCACGCTCACCTCCTGCTGCTTCACTTCTCCATTCCCCCAACACCAGCTAGTACAAGAGAGTGAAACCACATCTAATCTTTGCTATATAAATAGTTACAAGATGCTAAGACCACAACTACCAAACTAGGAAGTCCTAGCTACTGCTAAGACCATGAACTTTATTGCAGCAGATCCATTGCCATGCTCACCACCAGCCTCCCCACAGCACAATCCACCCTCCAGCTGGCCACATGCCTCCACCTCTCCTGCCATCTCTCCCACAACACCCTGCAAGCAGGGTGCAAAAAGGGGTAAGTCCCGCCATGCGCCTGCCACCAGCCCCCACCAGCCATGCTCATCCCACCCGCAAATCGCCTCCCTCCACATCCCATTGCGATGTCTCTGGATCTGCTCCGTTCTACTGTGAGAATGCTACTTATGCAGCTGCTTCATCACCGTTCACTGCTTCTCTTGGATGCTGTGCTGCGTGGCTTGGGAATGCCACTGGCTGCTGCTGATGTGCGTGGCGTGGGAATGCGAGAGGCGGCCACTGCTGCTGCTGGAGCAGCTGGTTTACGAGTGCTGTGAGGCGCAGCCTGCACTGCCTTAGCCGCTGCAGCTGTGTGCGCTGCCCTGCTTTGCCCAGGCTGAGGTATGCCACTCGCACCACCGCCACCACGCCCTGAACCCCACCCCACACCTGCTGCTCGCCCTCCTGCAGCCTCCACCCCTCCCATCGCCGCCTTCCCTGCTGCTGCACGCACCGCCGTATGTGCTGCCCTCCCATTGTCCTGCTCCCTCACCTTCTCTCCCGCTGCTTTTGTTGGAATCGACCCCACTGGGCTGCTCTTTGCAGCAACACTCTTAGCAGCTGCAGGAGTCACACGAGTGGCCTTGGCTGGCGTTGCTTTAGCTGCGGCAGGTGCAGGCTTAACGCTCTTCACTGCAGCGCTCTTCACAGCACCTGCAGGCGTCACACGAGTGGCCTTGGCTGGCGCTCCTTTAGCTGCTGCAGCTGCAGGCTTAACAGCAACGCTTCTAGCAGCAGCGGCCTTGGCTGGTGCAGCTGCAGATGCACGCGTTCCCTTGCCTGCTGAAACTGCGGCCTTCACAGGAACGCTTTTCACAGCAACGCTCTTCACGGAAGCAGTCTCAACAGCAGTGCTGCTGACAGCAGCACTCTTCAAAGCAGCAGTGGTGGTGGCAGCAGCGCGTGCACCCATGACGTGCGTGGGCGTGGGCGTGTTGCTGCGCGGCTGAGTCACGGGCTTGGTGGGTCGCAGCGGGGAGAAGCCCAGCGACGCACGGGGGGAGCGCGCAGTGCTCTGCTCGTCCTCGTTCAACCGCCCCACGCGCACCGCAACGGCGTGCAGCCGCTGCTGCCGCCTCTTGCTCATGCTCGTCACTGCACTGCTGGGACGCTTCGACCTGCTGCGGTCGCTTTTGCTGCTGCTGCTGCTGCTGGAGTTGCTGCTGCCGATGCTGCTGCTGCGAATGATACTGTTGCTAGTGACGCTGCTGGTGTCGCTGTTGTTGCTGCTGATGCTGCTGCTGCCGTTGCTGCGGATGCAGGTGCTGGTCGGAGTGTTGCTGGCGGCAGGCGCAGCTCCGAGCGAGAGAGTGACAACAGGCTCACAAAAGGGAACGCCCGGGACATACAGCCACGTTTGTTCCTCGTCGCTGTAGTCCTCCCAGAACGCGTGCTCAATGGAGGTGTCTTCACCCATCGAGAATCCCAGAGGGCCAGACAGCCAGGTGCAGTCTTCCTCGGAGAAATCCTTCCAGAACTCGTGATCCAGGCCCAAGGACGTCAGCGGCGCGTACAGCCACGTGCATTCTTCGTCGGTGAAGTCCTTCCAGAATTCGTAATCAATTGAGGGGCTCGTAAACTGGATAGCTGAGGTGTTCTGCGCGGCCATTGTACGAGCGAGAGGCTAAGCGACCGGGAAATTACAAGTCTCAAGAACCGGGAGTTGAAACCAGGTGGTAGCTGTCAGAAGCAAGTAATAACTCGAGCGGGTGTGGTGGAATGAATTAGAATGACGAGTGGCTTTGTGGTGTCGGGAATGCACGACAACTCCAAGGCGGAAAGGTGGATGGAGCTCGGGTGGAGAGAAGGGACGGTGGTGGGTAGACGGGGGAAAGCAGGTCTGCTGCCCATAGCGAAAGTAGTTCATCCCGGGAAAGGCGTGCGCTGTCTTGTGATTGGAGGAGAATGGACGGAGGGGTTCAGCAGCCAATGGCAAGCTGTCCGAAACAGATGCTCCAAGCATAGCCTCGAGGTTCGGCACAGCCGGACGAGTTTGTGACGGCTCGTTCATCTAGGACCAAGTAGATTTGGGCAGCGAAATCTCAGTATTTCGGCTGCCCAAACTGTATTCGGATCGCACTTCCGTCAAGCTCGCGGGCACTGCTTCTCGTTGACTGAATGTAGGGTCTCCGGTCTAAGGTATGCTCGAGGCTGTTAGCGCTGGCCGATTTCTCTGACATCCTAGAGCGATCTGATTGGAGCCAAACCAACGCAGAGGTCGGGCAGCCAATGGCATGCTACCCGATTTATTTGGTTTAAGCAAAAAGGCCCAGCCCAACTCCTCCAACGAAATTTCAGCGTTTTTTGCTGCCCAGAATCAAGTGTAGTCGTCCTTCCGTCAAGCTCGCCGCTGGTGAACCGGCGATTCGTCGGCGGAAACACAACGCTCTTCCCGGTTGACTGAATGTGGGGCTCCTATGGGTGTACTCTCCGAACAAAGCTATGCTCGAGGCTGCCATGGCTTGAGTTTCGTTCAGTCAACGTTAGCGAACGGGAAGAACAAACTACCTACGAGCAATCAGCGGACGCGAATGAGACGGAGGCCCGAACAGACCGGACTACGACGTGGCGCGTACCAATTGACGGATCGCAGTGTTCGCCCAGCAATCGGACGGTCCTGAGCAGCTCAAGGGATTTTGGAGTGCTCAGGAAACTAGTCTCGAGGAACTAGGGTTCCTCTCCCTAGATGCTCGTACAGGCAGGTCCCAACAGATGGAAACGAGAAAAGTGAATGCTTCTATGTGCAGATTCGTTATGGTAATAAACAGTGAGATATATGTATGGTTCAACAGATGTTACCTCTACCAACAATCCAGCAGTTTGATTTCTTATCCAAGTCGAGCAGATAATGACATGCTTTGAAAATGGTAACAAATCTGAAACTCTATATTGTCACCAAGCTCACCGTTGTGTGGTTCACCATGTAACTATATTTTTACATACCGTACCACAAGTACATCCCTTCCCCCGGCAATTTCATTTCAGTCCCGACAGCCACGCACGAAGCAATTTGACCTCCTAAGTGAAGTCAGCTTATGATTGCATCAATCAAGCATATGCCATTTCAACAAGCACACGCCAGTCGTGTGTCCCCACCCCCTTCTCCGTTGGTCCAAAGTTGCAGCCATAGCGCCTTGTGTGCTCAGGCATGCTCAAACTTGGCGAAGGCTCATGGGCACGCGTGGTGACATGCACACTGCCGGGTGATGCTGGTTGGTTAGTAGGCATGGTAGGCATGGCAAGCATGGTAGGCATCGCAGGCATGGCAGGCATGGTAGGCATGGCAGGCATGGCAGGCATGGTAGGCATGGCAGGCATGGTAGGCATGGTAGGCATGGCAGGCATGGCAGGCATTGTAGGCATGGTAGGCATGGCAGGCATGGTAGGCAGGGTAGGCATGGTAGGCATGGTAGGCATGGCAGGCATGGTAGGCATGGTAGGCATGGTAGGCATGGTAGGCATGGCAGGCATGGTAGCCATGGCAGGCATGGTAGGCCTGGTAGGCATGGCAGGCATGGTAGGCATGGTAGGCATGGTAGGCATGGTAGGCATGGCAGGCATGGTAGGCATGGTAGGCATGGTAGGCATGGTAGGCATGGCAGGCATGGTAGGCATGGCAGGCATGGTAGGCCTGGTAGGCATGGTAGGCATGGTAGGCATGGTAGGCATGGTAGGCATGATAGGCATCGCAGGCATTGTAGGCCTGCTAGGCATGGTAGGCATGGTAGGCATGGCAGGCATGGTAGGCATGGCAGGCATGGTAGGCATGGCAGGCATGGTAGGCATGGTAGGCATGGCAGGCATGGTAGGCATGGTAGGCATGATAGGCATCGCAGGCATGGTAGGCATGGTAGGCATGGCAGGCATGGTAGGCATGGTAGGCATGGTAGGCATTGTAGGCATGGTAGGCATGGTAGGCATGGTAGGCATGGCAGGCATGGCAGGCATGGTAGGCATGGTAGGCATGGCAGGCATGGCAGGCATGGCAGGCATTGTAGGCATGGTAGGCATGGTAGGCATGGCAGGCATGGTAGGCATGGCAGGCATGGTAGGCATGGTAGGCATGGCAGGCATGGCAGGCATGGTAGGCATGGTAGGCATGGTAGGCATGGCAGGCATGGTAGGCATGGTAGGCATGGCAGGCATGGTAGGCATGGCAGGCATGGTAGGCATGGCAGGCATGGTAGGCATGGCAGGCATGGCAGGCATGGCAGGCATGGTAGGCATGGTAGGCATGGTAGGCATGGTAGGCATGGTAGGCATGGTAGGCATGGTAGGCATGGTAGGCATGGTAGGCATGGCAGGCATGGTAGCCATGGCAGGCATGGTAGGCCTGGTAGGCATGGCATGGTAGGCATGGTAGGCATGGTAGGCATGGTAGGCATGGTAGGCATGGCAGGCATGGTAGGCATGGTAGGCATGGTAGGCATGGCAGGCATGGTAGGCATGGCAGGCATGGTAGGCATGGCAGGCATGGCAGGCATGGTAGGCATGGTAGGCATGGTAGGCATGGTAGGCATGGTAGGCATGGTAGGCATGGTAGGCATGGTAGGCATGGTAGGCATGGCAGGCATGGTAGCCATGGCAGGCATGGTAGGCCTGGTAGGCATGGCAGGCATGGTAGGCATGGTAGGCATGGTAGGCATGGTAGGCATGGCAGGCATGGTAGGCATGGTAGGCATGGTAGGCATGGTAGGCATGGCAGGCATGGTAGGCATGGCAGGCATGGTAGGCCTGGTAGGCATGGTAGGCATGGTAGGCATGGTAGGCATGGTAGGCATGATAGGCATCGCAGGCATTGTAGGCCTGCTAGGCATGGTAGGCATGGTAGGCATGGCAGGCATGGTAGGCATGGCAGGCATGGTAGGCATGGCAGGCATGGCAGGCATGGTAGGCATGGTAGGCATGGCAGGCATGGTAGGCATGGTAGGCATGATAGGCATCGCAGGCATGGTAGGCATGGTAGGCATGGCAGGCATGGTAGGCATGGTAGGCATGGTAGGCATGGTAGGCATGGCAGGCATGGCAGGCATGGTAGGCATGGTAGGCATGGCAGGCATGGCAGGCATGGCAGGCATTGTAGGCATGGTAGGCATGGTAGGCATGGCAGGCATGGTAGGCATGGCAGGCATGGTAGGCATGGTAGGCATGGCAGGCATGGCAGGCATGGTAGGCATGGCAGGCATGGTAGGCCTGGTAGGCATGGTAGGCATGGCAGGCATGGTAGGCATGGCAGGCATGGCAGGCATGGTAGGCATGGTAGGCATGGTAGGCATGGCAGGCATGGTAGGCATGGTAGGCATGGCAGGCATGGTAGGCATGGCAGGCATGGTAGGCATGGCAGGCATGGTAGGCATGGCAGGCATGGCAGGCATGGTAGGCATGGTAGGCATGGTAGGCATGGCAGGCATGGTAGGCATGGTAGGCATGGTAGGCATGGCAGGCATGGTAGGCATGGTAGGCATGGTAGGCATGGTAGGCATGGCAGGCATGGCAGGCATGGTAGGCATGGTAGGCATGGTAGGCATGGCAGGCATGGCAGGCATGGTAGGCATGGTAGGCATGGTAGGCATGGTAGGCATGGTAGGCATGGCAGGCATGGCAGGCATGTAAGGGACTGAGAGGCGTGGGAAGCATGGCAATGGCGATGAAGAGTTGTCTGGAGAATGGAATGTGGGGAATGTGAGTTGAAACATGTCAGTGGGAAGGAAGCTGGCAGCTTGAATAGCAATGAGAGGTTGACTGGGAATGGCAATACGACAGAGACATTCCAAGTGCTACCTGGAGTGGGAAAATGCGAACGAAAAGAGCTAATGGTGGAAAGTTGGCAATGGAAAAGAGCATGTGATGTGTGCATGGCAGGCAGCGATGCAAGCAGTAGAAGGGCCAGGGGAGGAGAGGTGGCTGCTGGGATGATGCACGGGTGGATGGGCGAGTGTGTGCTGCCCTTGCATGAAAATGCATGGAGTGACAGACGTGGCAAGCATGGCAATGAAGAGTTGTGTGGAGAATGGAATGGAGGGTGACACGCAGCTGGGAAGGGAAGATGATGTGACATTGCGTGCAATGGTGCCATGACATGTGTCTTCACAGCAGCAATGCGATTGGAAAGACCCATCACCTCAACCCATCTCACACTCCCATCACCTCATCCCATCTCACACTCCCATCACCCCATCCCATCTCACACTCCCATCACCCCATCCCATCTCACACTCCCATCACCTCATCCCCTCTCACACTCCCATCACCTCATCCCATCTCACACTCCCATCACCTCAACCCATCTCACACTCCCATCACCTCATCCCATCTCACACTCCCATCACCCCATCCCATCTCACACTCCCATCACCCCATCCCATCTCACACTCCCATCACCTCATCCCCTCTCACACTCCCATCACCTCATCCCATCTCACACTCCCATCACCTCAACCCATCTCACACTCCCATCACCTCATCCCATCTCACACTCCCATCACCCCATCCCATCTCACACTCCCATCACCCCATCCCATCTCACACTCCCATCACCTCATCCCCTCTCACACTCCCATCACCTCATCCCATCTCACACTCCCATCACCTCAACCCATCTCACACTCCCATCACCTCATCCCATCTCACACTACCATCACCCCATCCCATCTCACACTCCCATCACCCCATCCCATCTCACACTCCCATCACCTCATCCCCTCTCACACTCCCATCACCTCATCCCATCTCACACTCCCATCACCTCAACCCATCTCACACTCCCATCACCTCATCCCATCTCACACTCCCATCACCCCATCCCATCTCACACTCCCATCACCCCATCCCATCTCACACTCCCATCACCTCATCCCCTCTCACACTCCCATCACCTCATCCCATCTCACACTCCCATCACCTCATCCCATCTCACACTCCCATCACCCCATCCCATCTCACACTCCCATCACCCCATCCCATCTCACACTCCCATCACCTCATCCCCTCTCACACTCCCATCACCTCATCCCATCTCACACTCCCATCACCTCATCCCATCTCACACTCCCATCACCTCATCCCATCTCACACTCCCATCACCCCATCCCATCTCACACTCCCATCACCTCATCCCCTCTCACACTCCCATCACCTCATCCCATCTCACACTCCCATCACCTCAACCCATCTCACACTCCCATCACCTCATCCCATCTCACACTCCCATCACCCCATCCCATCTCACACTCCCATCACCCCATCCCATCTCACACTCCCATCACCTCATCCCCTCTCACACTCCCATCACCTCATCCCATCTCACACTCCCATCACCTCAACCCATCTCACACTCCCATCACCTCATCCCATCTCACACTCCCATCACCCCATCCCATCTCACACTCCCATCACCCCATCCCATCTCACACTCCCATCACCTCATCCCCTCTCACACTCCCATCACCTCATCCCATCTCACACTCCCATCACCTCAACCCATCTCACACTCCCATCACCTCATCCCATCTCACACTCCCATCACCCCATCCCATCTCACACTCCCATCACCCCATCCCATCTCACACTCCCATCACCTCATCCCCTCTCACACTCCCATCACCTCATCCCATCTCACACTCCCATCACCTCAACCCATCTCACACTCCCCTCACCTCATCCCATCTCACACTCCCATCACCCCATCCCATCTCACACTCCCATCACCCCATCCCATCTCACACTCCCATCACCTCATCCCCTCTCACACTCCCATCACCTCATCCCATCTCACACTCCCATCACCTCAACCCATCTCACACTCCCATCACCTCATCCCATCTCACACTCCCATCACCCCATCCCATCTCACACTCCCATCACCCCATCCCATCTCACACTCCCATCACCTCATCCCCTCTCACACTCCCATCACCTCATCCCATCTCACACTCCCATCACCTCATCCCATCTCACACTCCCATCACCTCATCCCATCTCACACTCCCATCACCCCATCCCATCTCACACTCCCATCACCTCATCCCCTCTCACACTCCCATCACCTCATCCCATCTCACACTTCCATCACCTCAACCCATCTCACACTCCCATCACCTCATCCCATCTCACACTCCCATCACCCCATCCCATCTCACACTCCCATCACCCCATCCCATCTCACACTCCCATCACCTCATCCCCTCTCACACTCCCATCACCTCATCCCATCTCACACTCCCATCACCTCATCCCATCTCACACTCCCATCACCTCATCCCATCTCACACTCCCATCACCCCATCCCATCTCACACTCCCATCACCCCATCCCATCTCACACTCCCATCACCTCATCCCCTCTCACACTCCCATCACCTCATCCCATCTCACACTCCCATCACCTCAACCCATCTCACACTCCCCTCACCTCATCCCATCTCACACTCCCATCACCTCATCCCCTCTCACACTCCCATCACCTCAACCCATCTCACACTCCCATCACCTCATCCCATCTCACACTCCCATCACCTCAACCCATCTCACACTCCCATCACCTCATCCCATCTCACACTCCCATCACCTCACCCCATCTCACACTCCCATCACCTCATCCCATCTCACACTCCCATCACCTCATCCCATCTCACACTCCCATCACCTCCTCCCATCTCACACTCCCATCACCTCATCCCATCTCACACTCCCATCACCTCATCCCATCTCACACTCCCATCACCCCATCCCATCTCACACTCCCATCACCCCATCCCATCTCACACTCCCATCACCTCATCCCCTCTCACACTCCCATCACCTCATCCCATCTCACACTCCCATCACCTCATCCCATCTCACACTCCCATCACCTCATCCCATCTCACACTCCCATCACCTCATCCCATCTCACACTCCCATCACCTCACCCCATCTCACACTCCCATCACCTCATCCCATCTCACACTCCCATCACCTCATCCCATCTCACACTCCCATCACCTCACCCCATCTCACACTCCCATCACCTCAACCCATCTCACACTCCCATCACCTCATCCCATCTCACACTCCCATCACCTCAACCCATCTCACACTCCCATCACCTCATCCCATCTCACACTCCCATCACCTCAACCCATCTCACACTCCCATCACCTCATCCCATCTCACACTCCCATCACCTCACCCCATCTCACACTCCCATCACCTCATCCCATCTCACACTCCCATCACCTCATCCCATCTCACACTCCCATCACCTCCTCCCATCTCACACTCCCATCACCTCATCCCATCTCACACTCCCATCACCTCATCCCATCTCACACTCCCATCACCCCATCCCATCTCACACTCCCATCACCCCATCCCATCTCACACTCCCATCACCTCATCCCCTCTCACACTCCCATCACCTCATCCCATCTCACACTCCCATCACCTCATCCCATCTCACACTCCCATCACCTCATCCCATCTCACACTCCCATCACCTCATCCCATCTCACACTCCCATCACCTCACCCCATCTCACACTCCCATCACCTCATCCCATCTCACACTCCCATCACCTCACCCCATCTCACACTCCCATCACCTCAACCCATCTCACACTCCCATCACCTCATCCCATCTCACACTCCCATCACCTCACCCCATCTCACACTCCCATCACCTCATCTCATCTCACACTCCCATCACCCCATCCCATCTCACACTCCCATCACCTCAACCCATCTCACACTCCCATCACCTCATCCCATCTCACACTCCCATCACCCCATCCCATCTCACACTCCCATCACCCCATCCCATCTCACACTCCCATCACCTCATCCCCTCTCACACTCCCATCACCTCAACCCATCTCACACTCCCATCACCTCATCCCATCTCACACTCCCATCACCTCAACCCATCTCACACTCCCATCACCTCATCCCATCTCACACTCCCATCACCTCACCCCATCTCACACTCCCATCACCTCATCCCATCTCACACTCCCATCACCTCATCCCATCTCACACTCGCATCACCTCCTCCCATCTCACACTCCCATCACCTCATCCCATCTCACACTCCCATCACCTCATCCCATCTCACACTCCCATCACCCCATCCCATCTCACACTCCCATCACCCCATCCCATCTCACACTCCCATCACCTCATCCCCTCTCACACTCCCATCACCTCATCCCATCTCACACTCCCATCACCTCATCCCATCTCACACTCCCATCACCTCATCCCATCTCACACTCCCATCACCTCATCCCATCTCACACTCCCATCACCTCACCCCATCTCACACTCCCATCACCTCATCCCATCTCACACTCCCATCACCTCATCCCATCTCACACTCCCATCACCTCACCCCATCTCACACTCCCATCACCTCAACCCATCTCACACTCCCATCACCTCATCCCATCTCACACTCCCATCACCTCAACCCATCTCACACTCCCATCACCTCATCCCATCTCACACTCCCATCACCTCAACCCATCTCACACTCCCATCACCTCATCCCATCTCACACTCCCATCACCTCACCCCATCTCACACTCCCATCACCTCATCCCATCTCACACTCCCATCACCCCATCCCATCTCACACTCCCATCACCTCATCCCCTCTCACACTCCCATCACCTCATCCCATCTCACACTCCCATCACCTCATCCCATCTCACACTCCCATCACCTCATCCCATCTCACACTCCCATCACCTCATCCCATCTCACACTCCCATCACCTCACCCCATCTCACACTCCCATCACCTCATCCCATCTCACACTCCCATCACCTCATCCCATCTCACACTCCCATCACCTCACCCCATCTCACACTCCCATCACCTCAACCCATCTCACACTCCCATCACCTCATCCCATCTCACACTCCCATCACCTCAACCCATCTCACACTCCCATCACCTCATCCCATCTCACACTCCCATCACCTCAACCCATCTCACACTCCCATCACCTCATCCCATCTCACACTCCCATCACCTCACCCCATCTCACACTCCCATCACCTCATCCCATCTCACACTCCCATCACCTCATCCCATCTCACACTCCCATCACCTCCTCCCATCTCACACTCCCATCACCTCATCCCATCTCACACTCCCATCACCTCATCCCATCTCACACTCCCATCACCCCATCCCATCTCACACTCCCATCACCCCATCCCATCTCACACTCCCATCACCTCATCCCCTCTCACACTCCCATCACCTCATCCCATCTCACACTCCCATCACCTCATCCCATCTCACACTCCCATCACCTCATCCCATCTCACACTCCCATCACCTCATCCCATCTCACACTCCCATCACCTCACCCCATCTCACACTCCCATCACCTCATCCCATCTCACACTCCCATCACCTCATCCCATCTCACACTCCCATCACCTCCTCCCATCTCACACTCCCATCACCTCAACCCATCTCACACTCCCATCACCTCATCCCATCTCACACTCCCATCACCTCACCCCATCTCACACTCCCATCACCTCATCCCATCTCACACTCCCATCACCTCATCCCATCTCACACTCCCATCACCTCCTCCCATCTCACACTCCCATCACCTCATCCCATCTCACACTCCCATCACCTCATCCCATCTCACACTCCCATCACCCCATCCCATCTCACACTCCCATCACCCCATCCCATCTCACACTCCCATCACCTCATCCCCTCTCACACTCCCATCACCTCATCCCATCTCACACTCCCATCACCTCATCCCATCTCACACTCCCATCACCTCATCCCATCTCACACTCCCATCACCTCATCCCATCTCACACTCCCATCACCTCACCCCATCTCACACTCCCATCACCTCATCCCATCTCACACTCCCATCACCTCATCCCATCTCACACTCCCATCACCTCCTCCCATCTCACACTCCCATCACCTCATCCCATCTCACACTCCCATCACCTCATCCCATCTCACACTCCCATCACCCCATCCCATCTCACACTCCCATCACCCCATCCCATCTCACACTCCCATCACCTCATCCCCTCTCACACTCCCATCACCTCATCCCATCTCACACTCCCATCACCTCATCCCATCTCACACTCCCATCACCTCATCCCATCTCACACTCCCATCACCTCATCCCATCTCACACTCCCATCACCTCACCCCATCTCACACTCCCATCACCTCATCCCATCTCACACTCCCATCACCTCACCCCATCTCACACTCCCATCACCTCAACCCATCTCACACTCCCATCACCTCATCCCATCTCACACTCCCATCACCTCACCCCATCTCACACTCCCATCACCTCATCTCATCTCACACTCCCATCACCCCATCCCATCTCACACTCCCATCACCTCAACCCATCTCACACTCCCATCACCTCATCCCATCTCACACTCCCATCACCCCATCCCATCTCACACTCCCATCACCCCATCCCATCTCACACTCCCATCACCTCATCCCCTCTCACACTCCCATCACCTCAACCCATCTCACACTCCCATCACCTCATCCCATCTCACACTCCCATCACCTCATCCCATCTCACACTCCCATCACCTCATCCCATCTCACACTCCCATCACCTCATCCCATCTCACACTCCCATCACCTCACCCCATCTCACACTCCCATCACCTCATCCCATCTCACACTCCCATCACCTCACCCCATCTCACACTCCCATCACCTCAACCCATCTCACACTCCCATCACCTCATCCCATCTCACACTCCCATCACCTCACCCCATCTCACACTCCCATCACCTCATCTCATCTCACACTCCCATCACCCCATCCCATCTCACACTCCCATCACCTCAACCCATCTCACACTCCCATCACCTCATCCCATCTCACACTCCCATCACCCCATCCCATCTCACACTCCCATCACCCCATCCCATCTCACACTCCCATCACCTCATCCCCTCTCACACTCCCATCACCTCAACCCATCTCACACTCCCATCACCTCATCCCATCTCACACTCCCATCACCTCAACCCATCTCACACTCCCATCACCTCATCCCATCTCACACTCCCATCACCTCACCCCATCTCACACTCCCATCACCTCATCCCATCTCACACTCCCATCACCTCATCCCATCTCACACTCCCATCACCTCCTCCCATCTCACACTCCCATCACCTCATCCCATCTCACACTCCCATCACCTCATCCCATCTCACACTCCCATCACCCCATCCCATCTCACACTCCCATCACCCCATCCCATCTCACACTCCCATCACCTCATCCCCTCTCACACTCCCATCACCTCATCCCATCTCACACTCCCATCACCTCATCCCATCTCACACTCCCATCACCTCATCCCATCTCACACTCCCATCACCTCATCCCATCTCACACTCCCATCACCTCACCCCATCTCACACTCCCATCACCTCATCCCATCTCACACTCCCATCACCTCATCCCATCTCACACTCCCATCACCTCACCCCATCTCACACTCCCATCACCTCAACCCATCTCACACTCCCATCACCTCATCCCATCTCACACTCCCATCACCTCAACCCATCTCACACTCCCATCACCTCATCCCATCTCACACTCCCATCACCTCAACCCATCTCACACTCCCATCACCTCATCCCATCTCACACTCCCATCACCTCACCCCATCTCACACTCCCATCACCTCATCCCATCTCACACTCCCATCACCTCATCCCATCTCACACTCCCATCACCTCCTCCCATCTCACACTCCCATCACCTCATCCCATCTCACACTCCCATCACCTCATCCCATCTCACACTCCCATCATCCCATCCCATCTCACACTCCCATCACCCCATCCCATCTCACACTCCCATCACCTCATCCCCTCTCACACTCCCATCACCTCATCCCATCTCACACTCCCATCACCTCATCCCATCTCACACTCCCATCACCTCATCCCATCTCACACTCCCATCACCTCATCCCATCTCACACTCCCATCACCTCACCCCATCTCACACTCCCATCACCTCATCCCATCTCACACTCCCATCACCTCACCCCATCTCACACTCCCATCACCTCAACCCATCTCACACTCCCATCACCTCATCCCATCTCACACTCCCATCACCTCACCCCATCTCACACTCCCATCACCTCATCCCATCTCACACTCCCATCACCTCACCCCATCTCACACTCCCATCACCTCATCCCATCTCACACTCCCATCACCTCATCGCATCTCACACCCCCATCACCTCATCCCGTCTCACACTCCCATCACCTCATCCCATCTCACACTCCCATCACCTCATCCCACCCCAAATCATCCCTGACTGCATGAGCACAACCATCAAGCTGCCCTAAACCCTATACCAGAAACCCTAATACAGGCAATGGCAGACTGGAAATGCAAAAACGAGAAAATGGAAAAATGATGAAAAAAATGGCAATGAACAGGTGGCCGGACGAATGGCAAACAGAATTGAACTGGAGACATGGCCACATCTTTGAGTCTCACAACGCCACCCCCCTCCTTCCTGCTTAATTCCTCATCCTTCCCTTCCAACCCCACCCTGATGATAGTGGGAACATGGCAGTGGGATGATGATAGTGGGAACATGTTATTCATTTCATATTCTGTTCTGTTGCCATCCCAATCATGTTGGTCTACCTCTGACAATTGGCCAACTTGATACTTCACTCATTTCAGTAACAAACAACAAGCCTACTTGTTACTTCACTCATTTCAGTCACCAAGCCAATTTCATACTTCACTCATTTCAGTCACCAAGCCAATTTCATACTTCGCTCATTTCAGTAACAACAAGCCTACTTGATACTTCACTCCTTTCAGTAACAACAAGCTTAGTTGATACTTCACTCATTTTAGTAACAACAAGCCTACTTGATACTCACTCATATCAGTAACAAGTGAATATCACATTTCATTGCTCCAAAGTTTTCAGAGCCTTTCATTAAGATTTCTGCGGCTGTGTTCAACTTGTCACTATGGTCTGGCATTGAATCGCCCTTTGATATTGCTCCATGCCCTGACCATTGAAATTCAGTATTGAGCATGGTTTTTGTACAAAAACACAATGCTTGTTTCAAATTCCAATCAAACAGTAGGAGTCCTTTCAGAACAAGAAACATGGGCAGAACTCAAGACTCTCAGTTTTCACACTCATTCCTTCATTCCATACTCTCCATGCACCCCCATCCATACCAGAGCATGAAAAGACGATGCATATATTAATATTTCTAAACTATACATGGTTACTAGGTCTAAAGTGGCGCCTGTTAACATTCCTTTCTCTCCATCCACCATTCGTTCCTTCTTTCCCACAACATCCTGCCAGGCAGGATGGAAAAAAGGGGGTGCACCCCTACCACCATCATTCCACATCACCCCCACCAGCTTTACCTTACTTGCCATCATGCCACTTATTCAAGGCCATGCTTGACCAAGCTATACTCACCCACCTCCTTATCCGCCTCGTCCCTCTAGCCTTCCCATATGATGCCTTATCAGATGTTGTCTCTTCCACTCTTACCTTTGCTGCATTATCCTTATCAGAACTTGGCTTATGCTTTGACTTTAAATCAGAGTTCTTAGCAGCGGCTACAGCAGTAGCAGCGTCAACAGGGACAACAGCAGCTGAAGCCTTTCTCAGGTTGGACAGCCCAACATTTTTTTCTGAAGTCTGGCATTTGTTGGAGCATTTTTTCACTGAATCTTTTGTGCTGGCTTTTACAGAAGGAGTGTGCACAGATGCGCAGCTCGTGCTGCTTGCACTGCTGGAGCTGAAGGTGCAAATCATCACGGTCCTGCTGCCCTTGTCAACATCATCCTTACTGGCAGCAGGTTTTTTAACCATAATCCAAGGCGATTTCTTGCCTGTGGAGGCGAGAAACTCGTCCTTGGACAGGAAGTTGACGTTTCCTTCATTGCTGCAGACGCTTTGGGCGTTTATGTACCGTTGACGGAATTCCAGCAGATCCAATTCGCTCATGTACGAAAAGTCGTCTTCCGAATCCTCAGACATCCGTGCCTTTTTGGCACTTGGAGCAGCAGCAGCAGCAGCAGGCGTGGATCGCTTGCGTGCTGCATCGCTCCAGCTGGGAGAGGCGGAAGCGGAGGCAGCAGGGAGGTAGAGGCTTTTCAGTCCTGCTGGAACGCATCCGTGGTCCTCTTCCCAGTAGAAGAGGTCGTCGGGGTCAGCCTTGCTGCAGGCAGCGAGGGTTTTTACGGCCATCAGCAGTCAGGTGCAAAGAGAACCTCGAGGCTTGAGGAGAAGGGTAGCAAAGGGCTGTGTGAGTAAACAAGATGTGATTCAACTGAAATGAATGGGTGACAGACGGGGTTGTCTACTCGTGGCTGTAAGAGCAGCGTCGGATCTGACAGGATGCTGATGAGCGAGCCGCTCTAGTCGACAATCGCAGAAGAGGGAGTTCCGTTGGCAACGGGAGCTTCAGGTATGGTGCCATAGCTAAGGTTACGGTTTGGTGCGTGCGCGTTCGCCACCGACAATGTCGAAATGGCAGATATAATGGCATCCGAAGCAAAAAGGTACTCGCCGATGTTCTCGCGCAACTCGCCACGGCGGTACATCCGGGCCCACATTTTTTGAAACAGTGGTTCGGAATGCTTCCGTGGAAAGTTCCGAAGCATGTGGGTGAGACAGTCACACCTGGGATCTTGCTGCTCCACGTCATCGTTTATGCAAATCTGACTCAGGCAAATGATCCGACGGCGTGGAGTGGGACGGCGTGTGAAAGCCATGGGCTGATGAGAATGTACTGACCCGACCTGTGCTAGTCAATCTCGATGTGCGAAGCGATGGGCCTGGCTAAGCGGACAGTAGGGTCATTGGGATTGGCCAGCGTGTTCCCCGTCAGGAACTAGGTAAGCTGCGAGCTGGTTCTAGCCTAGGGCGTCCATTGCCGCTAGGAGATGCGGCAAGGTCGAGGGGGTATTTGTGGCTGGTGGGTTTTGAAGTTCGAAAACGTTACATCAATGGTTACATTTGTTTATGTCTGTCAAATTGATTTCACCTCATTCAATCCAATCCATTCTCCAAAACTGTTGCAGCTGCTCTAATCCTTGACTTAATTTGCGTTTGACAAAGAATTCCAAGCCGTTGACATGTACGAATGTACAACCATGTAAATGCACAATTTGACATCCTTGCCCACAACTTGCATTATCACGTTATTATTTTTTGTCATCATTATCTTCCCCCCCTGCACATCTCACAACACCAAGAAAAAGGGTGTGTCATTATTATTATTACGTTATTCCTTTTCATTTATGTTTTTCTTTCCCTTCTTTTCCTCTTTCTATCTAGGACCATGAGAGATACAACCTTCCACTGTGTGTCTGTATTATGTTATAAGGAATCTACAGTTTACGTAGATGGAGCACCATCTAAACTTCCATAAGTGCACCTTCTGTGATTTCCCTGACTAAACTTTCATAAGAAAAAGGGTGTTCAACACATGAGAACCCCTGCTTCATCAGTGAGGTACGGTAGTCTTATTGAGACCGAGATCCTGCCTGCAAAATGGCCAAGGGGAGTGCAGAATGAAAATGTGGTTTCAGTCAGCGAGCAAGATCGCCAGGCGTGAAGCATAATTTCCTGTTCACCAGCAGGAACGGAAGCCGACTGATAGTACGGCATTGGAGTAAAAACAGCCGCCACACAGCACGGTGTTCTGCCATGGTAAACGCATTAACGACAGTGAATGGCCGACGGTGGCACGGTGTGGCCCACGGTGGCACGGTGTGGCCCGGTGTTCCTCCCAGTCCCATGAGAGGGAGATGCCATGGCTGCAACAATTGAGGTTGGAATGTCAAAATAAACAAGAAGTTGGTGGGCAAAGTCTCCAAATAAACAGAGTAACTTAAAAACGTTACTGGATGGAGGTAACCAGGAAAAATGACAGGGAAGATGATTGAACTAAGGACAATACGAGAAGACTCAGAAAGCAACACTGAAGGGTGACAGGGAAATGGAAGTGGAAACCAGGAAGTGGAGAGAAGGAAAACTGCACTGGAAAGTAAGCGGGGAAAGTGGGAATGGGAATCTGAGTGAAAGGCAAACCACAAAAGCCCATCCGTCCATCCCGCAGCACATACCAGTTGCCTGTTTCCCAACCACCTCTCAATCCATACCAGCCTCCGGTACAAAAAACTCCGCTCTCATGCCCCCACCATCTTTTCTCTTTGCCACTCCAACCCCATCATCTCCATACCATGCTCCACCCACCGTGCCCTCACTGCCACTCACCGTGCTCCACCCACCGTGCCCTCACTGCCGGAGAACAGAGCATGGGGGATTATGCTATGCGGAGGGGAACGGCGAGGTGAGTGGAAGGGCCAGGGATGGGCGATGGCAGGCATGGGTGAGAGGGTGTGGGTGTGGCTTCCCCACGGTGGCATGTGTGCATGGCAGGCATGGCATGGCAAGCAGGCATGGCCAGCTGGCATGGGAGGCATGGGGGAGGCGAGATGGATGGTAGGATGATGGGAAGGTGCATGGGCAAGCGCGTACGACCCAAGCATGCATGAGGGAATAGGCGGGAGGAGGCAATGGCAGAGGAAGAAACTGGCAAGGGAAGGTTGACAATGGGGAATGAACAGACGAAGCAGATCTATGAAGCCGACAGGTCAACCAGCAATGGGCAAATGACCGTGAGAATCCGGCTGGGAAAGGATGACTAGAAATCAACGACAGAGACAATCAGAAAAGTTGAAGGAAAAATGGCGACCAATTTGACTTGAAACTGGCAGCAGAATGGATGAGAAATTGATGGGAAGAGTGACAATGGAAAATTGGCAAGAAGAATGACAACGAAGACATGTGAAAATGGGGTGACAAAGGGCAATGTGAAAAGGTTCAGCACCTGACAAAAAAAAAAACCAATGGTGATGGGAACATGGATGTGAAACTGTGAAAATGGATTGGGAAGCTGAAATGGTAGAGTTGAACAGGAAAATCGCAATATGTGATTGATTGATTGGTAAACATGACAATAACATGAGAAGACTTGAGAGGTGACAATGGAAGATGACTGGACGAATGACGTGTGCACAATGGGAAAACGAGGCAACAAGAAAATGACAACAAATGAGAACAGTTGGCTGCGAACATGGCTTCTTCTATTGTGCGAGGGGAGACGGTGAGCAGGGCTGGGTGGCGGTGCGCCAAAGAAAGTGGTGAGTGTGGTTACCACCTCCTGCATGGTTTACCTTCTGGCGTGGAGGATGTGTGGGTGTCTGCGCACGAGGGAGAGCACTGCAGGATCCGCTGCATATGGAAGCGAAGGATCGAAATGCGGGCATGGGAGAAAAGAGGCAGAGTTAAATCTCACCCTTCCCCCTACGCTCCATTTTGCCCTCCCCTCTCCTCCTCCTCCTCCACTTCCCTTTTCGTCCCCCAACCCCCCCTGCCCTTCTGTCAGCGGCACTATTTCAGTTCATCGGGAACTGCTGGGGATCGTACGGTTGAAGGTAATGCTGCTGCCGATGCTGATGTTGCTTTCATTTCTGCTACGTGTGCAATTGTCTCGCCTCAATCCCCTTTCACTGTCGCAATGATAGAGCCACGCACAGGGTGGGCATGGGATGGCACAGGGTGGGCATGGGATGGCACAGGGTGGGCATGGGATGGCACAAGGTGGGCATGGGATGGCACAGGGTGGGCATGGGATGGCACAAGGTGGGCATGGGATGGCACAAGGTGGGCATGGGATGGCACAGGGTGGGCATGGGATGGCACAGGGTGGGCATGGGATGGCACAAGGTGGGCATGGGATGGCACAGGGTGGGCATGGGATGGCACAAGGTGGGCATGGGATGGCACAAGGTGGGCATGGGATGGCACAGGGTGGGCATGGGATGGCACAGGGTGGGCATGGGATGGCATGGCACAGGGTGGGCATGGGATGGCACAGGGTGGGCATGGGATGGCACAAGGTGGGCATGGGATGGCACAAGGTGGGCATGGGATGGCACAGGGTGGGCATGGGATGGCACAGGGTGGGCATGGGATGGCACAAGGTGGGCATGGGATGGCACAAGGTGGGCATGGGATGGCACAGGGTGGGCATGGGATGGCACAAGGTGGGCATGGGATGGCACAAGGTGGGCATGGGATGGCATGGCACAGGGTGGGCATGGGATGGCACAGGGTGGGCATGGGATGGCACAGGGTGGGCATGGGATGGCACAAGGTGGGCATGGGATGGCACAAGGTGGGCATGGGATGGCACAGGGTGGGCATGGGATGGCATGGCACAGGGTGGGCATGGGATGGCACAGGGTGGGCATGGGATGGCACAGGGTGGGCATGGGATGGCACAAGGTGGGCATGGGATGGCACAGGGTGGGCATGGGATGGCACAGGGTGGGCATGGGATGGCATGGCACAGGGTGGGCATGGGATGGGATGACCCAGCGTTCCTTCCTGCCATGCCATGGTCAGAGGGAGACGGCGCACATGCGACTGAGAGTGCTCACGCCATGCACGCTGCGCATGGGCTTCCCTCGTCGCCCCTCCCCTCCTCACCCTCTCCTCCTCCTGGGTTGCTTGCCTGCCATCATGCCTGCTTCCTCGCGCACTCTCGCAGTCAACCCCGAGTCAACGGCAGTCAACGCCACTCACATGCCAGCCGCTCGCTGCGCTGCTCTCACCTCGCCTCCTCCGGCGTCCACCACTGCCGCCGCTACCCTCGCCACCAGAGGGCCCGACAGGTGACAAGCGGGTGAACGGGGGGTTGGGGGAGGGGGACACAGGCATGTGAGTGAAAGGGTGGGTGCGGGGGGTGGGAGACAGGCATGTGAGTGAAAGGGGGGTTTGGGGGAGGGGGACACAGGCATGTGAGTGAAAGGGGGGTTTGGGGGAGGGGGACACAGGCATGTGAGTGAAAGGGGGGTTTGGGGGAGGGGGACACAGGCATGTGAGTGAAAGGGGGGTTTGGGGGAGGGGGACACAGGCATGTGAGTGAAAGGGGGGTTTGGGGGAGGGGGACACAGGCATGTGAGTGAAAGGGGGGTTTGGGGGAGGGGGACACAGGCATGTGAGTGAAATGGGGGTTTGGGGGAGGGGGACACAGGCATGTGAGTGAAATGGGGGTTTGGGGGAGGGGGACACAGGCATGTGAGTGAAAGGGGGGTTTGGGGGAGGGGGACACAGGCATGTGAGTGAAAGGGGGGTTTGGGGGAGGGGGACACAGGCATGTGAGTGAAAGGGGGGTTTGGGGGAGGGGGACACAGGCATGTGAGTGAAAGGGGGGTTTGGGGGAGGGGGACACAGGCATGTGAGTGAAAGGGGGGTTTGGGGGAGGGGGACACAGGCATGTGAGTGAAATGGGGGTTTGGGGGAGGGGGACACAGGCATGTGAGTGAAATGGGGGTTTGGGGGAGGGGGACACAGGCATGTGAGTGAAAGGGGGGTTTGGGGGAGGGGGACACAGGCATGTGAGTGAAAGGGGGGTTTGGGGGAGGGGGACACAGGCATGTGAGTGAAAGGGGGGTTTGGGGGAGGGGGACACAGGCATGTGAGTGAAAGGGGGGTTTGGGGGAGGGGGACACAGGCATGTGAGTGAAAGGGGGGTTTGGGGGAGGGGGACACAGGCATGTGAGTGAAATGGGGGTTTGGGGGAGGGGGACACAGGCATGTGAGTGAAAGGGGGGTTTGGGGGAGGGGGACACAGGCATGTGAGTGAGGGAGGGAGGAGGAGTAGGGAGACAGACACGTGAGTGAAAAGAGGAGGGGGAAGGGGGAAGGGGACACGCATGTGAGTCAAAAAGGGGAGGCGGAGGGGGGGGTGTTGGGGGAGACAGGCATGTGAGTAAAAAAAGGAGGAGCGGGAGGGGAGGGGGAAGGGGTGGAGGGGGAGAGGGGGGGGGGGGGGGAGCGGGGAAGGGAAGACAGGCATGTGGGTGGGGGGTGGTTTGAGTGGGGGAGAGAGGCATGCGCAGATCCCCTGGGCAACACACTAGCAACGTCAAGGCCGCCTTGCTTCTCGCCATGCGCGCACATTGCATTGCATTGCAGCAGCACTGCCATCCAAACACGGCCTGGGCAGCCAGCACAGCACAACTGTCATCCACCCCCTCTTGCGCCCATTCCCTCTCCGCTGCCCATCTCCCCTTCCGCCCATCCCCCCTTGCGCCCATCCCCCCTTGCGCCCACCCCCCTCGCGCATTCCCCCTTGCGACCATCCCTCCTTGCGCCCATCCCCCCTTGCGCCCATCCCCCCTTGCGCCCATCCGCGCTTCACATCCCTCTTACCTGAGAATCCGGAATGAGAAATCATGTTCGCACATGGCATGCCGTGAGGTTGTTTAATAAGGGGACGCGACGCGCGTCTAAGCGCGAGAGCGCGCGAGAGCCTTCCGCGCGATCCTATCGTGGGGGAGCTGGACGAGGTGCGGGTGCGCCACGAGGTGTGCTCGACGCGCCGACACGCCCTGCGAAAGGGACGCGTCCTTCATCGCGCCAACGAACGCCCCTCAGCCCTTCTTCCCCAATAACCGCGAGCTAAGCCAGATTCTCCGCGTCGCTGCTACCACTCCTGTGTCGAGCTGGCATTGACCCTGCAGAAGATGGTCGTCGCTTTCTGCAGGGGAGCGAAATTTCTGCAGGCGAATTCTGCGCCTAGGTCGAGGTGGAGCTGTGCAGAGGAGGGTGAATCTGCAGAGCAAATCGTGGTGCTGCAGAAGAGTGCGCATCTGCAGAAGAAAGCGCATCTGCAGAGATTTCGGAGCTGCAGAAGAAGGCGCGTCTGCAGAAACGAAATTCTGCAGAGGACCACAATCTCGACCGGCGAACCCTTCCGACGCGAAAACGCGATCGTTTCGGAACTTTTGCGTGGGAATTCCGGAACATTGCGGACATTGAGAAATTGACCCCCGGAAACAGTGCGTGAACTTGGGGTGTTCAATCTGGGGGCGAATTGAACCACCTGAGCAAACTGAACCTGGCGCACGTTTTCGTAACTACGAAAATGTGCGTTACAGAAGTTGTTTAAAACAACCTGAACAGTTAAAATAACTACTTTTAGGTAGGTAAAAATTACCAACTAAGCATGTGTTGTAATTTTCACCTGCCGACGCTGACTTGGCAAAGCGCAGCTAAGTGGTAGTTATCTAAACGTTCTAGGTGAGAACGTTCTCTTGGTAGGTTCAGTGGTTGGGTAGTTCTTTACCCATTGTATTCTATCTTTCATTCTATTCTAGTGAATTTTCTGTGTGTGCCAAATCTATGCCTTTCTCAACACTTAGCCATTTTTCTCCTTAGTGAACAACAAAGTTTGCGTGGCTGCAGAGAAGCATTTCGTAGAGCTCCAACTCCCGTTAGAGCAGAAATCTCTGCATGGTGCGGTGAGCGTGGATCGAACACGCATAGAGCCCGTTCTTCTACGTTAGGTCTCATTGAACTTAGCTCGTCGACATGGAGGATACTGAGGATATCCTTGAGGGAGTCGATAGTCTAAGTGAGCGGGAGGCTGCGGTGCTTGCTCGTCATGAAGGTGGAAACCTCACCGAGCAGGAGCTCAACTTCATGCTGTTGGGAGTACGAGCTCAATGGGAGATGGAACATCCACCGACTCGTGCAGAGGGAGACGAGGAATCGCAGACTTCTGGAGACGACGAGAACGCTGAAGAACCGGCGGAAGGCGGAATGCAGGAGCCACGAGGTGTTCTAGGACAAGGAGAACCGATGAGCCCTGGAGAAGGCTCGCAGCAGAAGGCGGATGCAAGTCCGAAGAAGGCGGCTGGCAAAGGACGCTTAAGCGGTCGAGGATCTGCAGTGAAGACTGGTGGAAGCTCGGCGGTTTCTCACCCATCGGCATCGAAAGACGGCGGAATTGCTCCTGATTACGGATACTTCAAATTTTCTCCTGACAAGATCACGGTGCCGAAGCCTCTGGAAGGACGTCATGACTTACCCGTGTGGAGGGAGTCAATTGAGCCTCAACTTGAAATCGCGCAGCTGAAGCAGTTCATCGACGGCTCGATCAAGGTTCCACGGCTGAGCGACATTTCGCAGTATACACAATTTCGCTCGGCGCAACTTCTGACCTTTATGGTGATATCGCGCTGCTGCTCTCCATCCGTGAAGATCGCCTTGAAGTCTTGTCGTCTACGAGTGGACGCGGGCTACCAGGCGTGGCGCTTCATCATGGAGACCTACAAAGCAACGGACTATCTCTATATCGGCCAGCTGGAGAGGAGCTTGGCGACGCTAGAGATGGCGGAGCATGAGACGGCGGCGACCTACTGCAATCGTGCGCAGATGATTCTCGCTAATCTGCGAATGGCTGGCGTCAACTATTCGATGGCTTCGTATGTGACTCATGTCCTAACAGGTCTTCCCGCGGAGTACAAGTACCTTCGACGAACGCTACAGTCTCCGGAAAACTGCAAGACTCTCGACGAAAACACTTTGACGAGCAGAATTATCGCGGAGGAGTGCACGCTCGAGCTCGAAAAGCGGAAGGAATCACCTCTACCACAGGTCAACTGGGCGTCGACGGGACAGCAGCAGCAGCAGCAGCAGCAGCAGCAGCAGCAGAAGCGTTGGTCTTCTTCGACATCTGGCGGTTCTACGGAGCAGAAGTCGTCGAACAAGGAGCAGCAGAAGAAAGATGGTCGACAGCAGAACAACAAACGGAGCTCGAAGAAACCTTGCTGGGTCTGCGGAGAAGTCGGTCACTTTGCGTTCCAGTGCGAACAACGTGCCGACAAGAAGAACATTGCTTCCGCGTAGAAGCAGAGTTCTTCGAAGACTGGAGCGCAGAGCGACAACTCCAATTCGACCAACAAAAAGGGACCTTCTTGTTCAATGGTGGGACCAGTTGTGGACCAGCTGCAGACGACCGATCTGCTCATTTCGCTGAATGCAGAAGATGGTGAGGAATTGCAGGCAATTGCTGCAGCCGTCGAGGCCGATCCTGCAGTTGTTCTTCTCGACAGTGGCTGCTCACATCATCTGATGGGCGATGATGCAGCCTTTGTCGAAATGCATGAAGGCGGCGACATTAAACATGTTCGCGGATTCAACGGGGCATTCCAAGACGTGTGTGGTCGCGGAACAATCGCTCTACGCGGTGAAGCTGGGAAGCAGATTCTGATTCCTGATGTGCTCTACGTGCCTGGAATCCATGCGAATCTGTTGTCTGCTGGGCAGCTAAAGGATTGTGGAGTAAAGCTGAAGGATGAAGGTGAAGAGACCCTCCTTCTCTCTACTGATGGGACAGTCCTTGGACGCGCTCGTTATCGAGGACGAGTGCTCAGCACAGATTTTCAGGTGTGGCCGCTGCAGAAATCGGCAGAGGAGGCGATTGCTCTGCGGACCTTGGCGACGGACACACGGGCGAAGATGGTCGTGTGGCATCCTCGACTTGCTCATGCGGGCGTCGAAACAATCAAGCAGACGGCGACGCATGGTGCAGCGACAGGCTTGGATATTGACAAGTCGGCCAACCCTGATCTACCGTGTGTTTCTTGTGTGGGGGGAAAGCTTATTCGGCATAGTTTCCCTCAAGAGGGGAGTGAAGAGCAGAAGGTGCTGGGAGTAGTGCACATCGATCTCTGCGGGCCCTTCCGAGTTCCTGCGAAAGATGGCAGCCGCTACTTTCTTCTGCTCAAGGATCGAAAATCTCGCTACGTCTGGTTCTACCCGATTGCGCAGAAAAGCGATGCTCTTCGCGTTTTCCAGAAGTGGCTTCCACGTGCAGAGAGGCAATGTGAGGCTTCGCTGAAGGCTCTCCGCTCCGATCGAGGTGGCGAATTTTTGGGAAGTAAATTCACCGAGTTCCTCGAAGAGAAGGGGATTGAGCACGACCTCACCTGCCCCTATACGCCGAAGCAGAACGGGATGGCGGAACGTGAAATGCGGACTGTCGTAGAAGCAGTTCGGACGATGCTTCTGCACATGGGAGCTCCCCATCATTGGTGGCACCTTGCAGCTCTGCAAGCTGTTTGGGTGAGGAATCGTCTAGAACATTCCTCTCTGCCATCAGGGGTAACTCCTTATGAAGTGCTCTTCGACAAGAAGCCTGACCTTGGGATGGCTAGAGTTTGGGGGTGTATGCTGCAGTACCTCATTCCGGAATGTCAGCGGGGGGGGAAGTTGGAGCCGAAAGCTCGTTGGGGTCTCCACCTGGGTGTCTCGCGGCAGAGTAAGGGGTGGCTGGTTCTCGACTTGTCGAGCAACCGTTTGATCACCACGGTCGAGGCCATCTTCTACGAGACAATGTCTCTTGCAGAGTGGAAGGCGACGAAGCAGAGTCCCACCGTCGACCGTGCTGCGCTCGACAATGTGGCATCCTTCCCGACGGATCCTGCGGATGATGACGATGATGATGATGAAATGACTAAGGCACCAGTCCCTCTGCTAGTGTCCACGCAGACTCCTCGTCCGCAGCTGCGCACTGACAACCCTCCAGTGCAACTCTCGCCGTTGCCAGAGACTCCTCCTGCAGACGACACTTCTCCTGCAGATGACGCTCCTTCCGAGGAGCAGGTTCCTTCTGCAGAAGACATTCGCTCTGAATCTTCTTCGACAGGGGAGCAGCTGTCGACTGCCTCTTCTTCGACGTTCTTTCCTTCGACTGAAAAATTGGTGCCATTGTCGACACTCCTTGGCGAAGAGGGGAGCACATTGCCGATGAATGTCGTCGCCAATGAGCGTCGAGAAGTCGAACAGCCTGCAGACGAAAAATCCGCAGAAGAGCGATCCGCAGAAGAGCAATTGGCAGAAGTTCGACCTGCAGACGAACTACCTGCAGAAGAAAATGTCGAAAAAGAGATGCATGAGTTAGAAGAAATTGCCGCAGAAGAGCAACCTGCAGAAGGACCGGCAGACGAAAATTTCCAGGTCTCTCGCTACGGTCGAAAGATTCAGAAGCCGCTCCGATTCCGCGAAGCACTGACGATGTTTACGATGACTTCGCTCGACGACATGCATGAGGATGTAGTGCAGAAAGAGCTCGACTCTGCTGACGAGTGCGTCGTTGACACGGATCATCGTTGGGACATTTCGACCATGACAGTCGCAGAAGCTTTGCAGAGTTGGAAAGGTGAAGCGGTCAAAGCTGCAATGGATGCAGAGATGCAGACCCTCTACGACCAAGAGACTTGGGAGCTGGTTCCTCGACCGCCTGGGGTTAATGTCATGAAGAATCGATGGGTTTTAACGACGAAGTATAACCCAGACGATACGGTCGACCAAGAGAAGGGTCGACTTGTAGTCAAAGGATACACGCAGACCCCTGACGAATTCGACGCAATTTCTGCCCCCGTCGGAAGCTACGGAACTGCTCGGATGCATATGTCGAACGCAGCTGATGGAAACTTGGAGTTGATGCAACTCGACATGACGAATGCATTTCTGAATGCGAAACTTGATCGTCCTCTCTTCATGGAGCAGCCCGAGTTCTACAACGATGGGACCGGCCGAGTCTGCATGCTGAAGAAAAGCCTCTACG